TTACCTGCAGCAGACTTGCTGATCAGAACATGTTTTTGGATATTTGGGTCAATTTTCTCAAAACCAAAACCAGATTTCTAACATCCATCTGAAAGCTGCTTGTTTTAGAAGCAAAATGTAGTTTTTGCCCAGTGGCTGACTGTGTTCGGCTCAGTTTCTGAGCGTCTTACTCTGAGTGTCTTACTCTGAGTGTCTTACTCTGAGCGTCTTACTCTGAGTGTCTTACTCTGAGCGTCTTACTCTGAGTGTCTTACTCTGAGCGTCTTACTCTGCAGTGTCTTACTCTGAGCGTCTTACTCTGCAGTGTCTTACTCTGCAGTGTCTTACTCTGAGCGTCTTACTCTGAGTGTCTTACTCTGAGCGTCTTACTCTGAGCGTCTTACTCTGAGCGTCTTACTCTGAGCGTCTTACTCTGAGCGTCTTACTCTGAGCGTCTTACTCTGAGCGTCTTACTCTGAGCGTCTTACTCTGAGTGTCTTACTCTGAGCGTCTTACTCTGCAGTGTCTTACTCTGAGTGTCTTACTCTGAGCGTCTTACTCTGCAGTGTCTTACTCTGAGCGTCTTACTCTGCAGTGTCTTACTCTGCAGTGTCTTACTCTGCAGTGTCTTACTCTGAGCGTCTTACTCTGAGCGTCTTACTCTGAGCGTCTTACTCTGAGCGTCTTACTCTGAGTGTCTTACTCTGAGCGTCTTACTCTGCAGTGTCTTACTCTGAGCGTCTTACTCTGAGTGTCTTACTCTGAGCGTTTTACTCTGCAGTGTCTTACTCTGAGTGTCTTACTCTGAGCGTCTTACTCTGAGTGTCTTACTCTGAGCGTCTTACTCTGCAGTGTCTTACTCTGCAGTGTCTTACTCTGAGCGTCTTACTCTGCAGTGTCTTACTCTGAGTGTCTTACTCTGAGCGTTACTCTGCAGTGTCTTACTCTGCAGTGTCTTACTCTGAGTGTTTTACTCTGCAGTGTCTTACTCTGCAGTGTCTTACTCTGAGCGTCTTACTCTGAGTGTCTTACTCTGAGTGTCTTACTCTGCAGTGTCTTACTCTGAGCGTCTTACTCTGAGCGTCTTACTCTGAGCGTCTTACTCTGCAGTGTCTTACTCTGAGCGTCTTACTCTGAGCGTCTTACTCTGAGCGTCTTACTCTGAGCGTCTTACTCTGAGCGTCTTACTCTGAGTGTCTTACTCTGAGCGTCTTACTCTGAGCGTCTTACTCTGAGCGTCTTACTCTGAGCGTCTTACTCTGAGCGTCTTACTCTGAGCGTCTTACTCTGAGCGTCTTACTCTGAGCGTCTTACTCTGAGCGTCTTACTCTGAGCGTCTTACTCTGAGCGTCTTACTCTGAGCGTCTTACTCTGAGCGTCTTACTCTGAGCGTCTTACTCTGAGCGTCTTACTCTGAGCGTCTTACTCTGAGCGTCTTACTCTGAGCGTCTTACTCTGAGCGTCTTACTCTGAGCGTCTTACTCTGAGCTCCCCTTCACGTTTGCTCCACAAATAAAGAGGGAGGTCGCCATGGCAGCCAGCGACTCACTGGGTTCATTCTTATATTTCACAAGTCGCCCCAGAGAACCTGCATATTTTCAGAGGTTGCATAATTTATAAATAAAGTCTGGGAAGCATCTGCTGTCGGATTCTTTAAAAATGATTCTGGATTTGTTTGTTTTATTTTATTAGCCATTCATTGTGTGTTGTTTAAGTTAGTTTATTTCTTTCATAAGTGTTTGTGGTAGTAAGTTTCCAAACACCTCAAAAGGGACACAAAATAATATTTTATCAGTCAAATAAAAACAGTTTAATCTCTCAAACAGTCAAATTAAGTCAACGTGACAAGATGTCCACTATTGTTTAACTTTTAAGAATAAATAAATACTTATTAATATTTTAAGTTCAACAGGATTTATCAATACATTCTGGCACAAGCCACAAAAGTTTAAATCAATTAATCGTATGACAAATTAAAACAAGCTCTGTAATTTCCATTGCCGTTATTTATCATTTTTCTCTCTGTCCACCAAAAACTGAAAGACAAAAGTTTGGTCTCAACTAGCCCGAAAGATAATTTTGTATACAGAGAGTTTAAAATTAATTTTATTCGTTATTTTGTTTATTTATTTTGGATTAAATGTCTTACAGTTCTGGTGTTAAATGTTAATTAGAATTTTAAGTTTATTATTCTTTGAGAATGTGTTTTTGTGTTATTACACTGTTATTATATTTCTTGAAAATGGTCTCAAAATGACAATATTATCATTTACCGCAAAAACTTCTAGGACAATTTATTATTATTAGGGCCAGTCAGATGTTAAACTGCACCTAATAAAGTCATGAATACGAATCATTTTCTTCAATGCAAGAACAAAAACTTTGGCACAAATTTACTCCCGTAGAGAAGAAATAAATTTACGAAAAACTGAACTGAAAAAACGGAGCAGAAAGCCTGAAAATGAAGCAGTGAGTGCTTGAGTTAATACCAAAGTGGATTATAAGTCCAAATAAAAACTGAGACAAACAGGAGGTTCTGGCACAAAGACGGCCGTCTAATTGGATCCATTTGGGTCCATTTGCTGTCAGGGAGACAGCACACTTGTCGCTACAACCTGTCGCTCTTCTGCTGCCACCACAAGCATTTTCTCATGTTTCTCTGGCTCTTATGACAACCGTGAGAATGGAAACGCAGAAAACGGAGACGCTGCAGGGACATCTGAAGAGCCGGCAGAAAAACAAACAACCTGGAGTGTTTCTGTTCTGGGAGCTCCTGCATAATAACAACACAAACCTCTTCAGCCCACATAAATCCTGACAGAAATGTTCCACAACCCGGCTGCTCAACACAGACCATAAATAACAGCATCAACATAAACAACAGAAACAAACCTCTGAGTTACATAGAAAGAAGGAACTTTTTACTGTAACAAAACAATAAAATAAATTAGATTTCAGAAGTCACCATTCTGCAAATCATGTCATAATCTGTTTACATTTTCTTCAAAAGTTATAAGAAACTGTAGAGGTTTTCTAGTTTTCACCACACAAGTAAGCAAATCGCAATTAAACTGAGCTGAGGTGATTTAGAGTCTGGACTTGGGAGAGGTTGATTGTTGTTTTTTCTTTACGGGAGTAATTAAACGGAAAGAAAGTGTTTTATTGAAGAAAGTGTCAGGGAAGTGAAAAGTAGTTTAAATTCAATACAATTAACAACCAGATTCCAGAAGGGAGATGGTTTCAATTACAGCCAGAGAAAAAAAAGGAGAAACTACCTGTATGAAACGCAAAAAGTGAAACAGTTTATTCAATGAAGACGAATTAAAACAAAAATATAGACACAAGTCAATAAAATTATACATAATATATAACAGGATGGATGGATGGATGATGGTAATTTTGTCTCAATGAACTGATTCAGTAAACTGAGTTAATGAACTGATTCCTCTCTGACTCGGTTCAGTAGATGGGACTGAATGTTTTCCTGAAACAAACTCTTTGTTTTCTTCTCATCCTCTTTCTTCTTTTTCTGTTTTTCCGCTGCAGGGCGTCGAAAACCAGCAAACAGGAGGCATTTTTAGATGGAGATTACATATATTTAAACAAAAGATTTTAACACTAAACCTGAAGGTGCAAACCTGAAACTCGTGTTTGATTGTTTTGTTTTTGCACCTTGAGGCGATTACCAGTCTGGATCGGTGAAGGCGGAAGAGGAAACAGAGGCTGAGTCATCGGATTAACAACACTGCAGCTCTGAAATGAGATTATTCATCATCTCAGATAACAAAAGAACAAATTCATCAACACTATTCATCCAATTATTCCTAATTTATCAAAAGATCTGAGTAATTAAACTAAATATAATTGCTCAGATTTTGAATTTTGCTTGAATCGTGGAGACTGAACCAGCCTGAACCTTCAGTCCTGTAAAATGAAAGCAGAGCAGTACAAACCCTGCGGCTCGTGTTTCCTCTGCAGCTCTTTATGAATCGGACGGATGGGAGTCGGGAGAGGACGCGGGGACGCGCGGCGCGCTCCTTCATGTCGGTCACCGGTGAAATCTATTTTTAGAAACGCGGAATAATTCATGAGCGCCATTCATTAAAAAACGGGCAGGCTTTTCATTCAGACTTTCTAAATCTTGTCTGTAACTTTGAACAGGAAAAAAAAGAGATACCAATAATAAGAATCCTGAGTCAGAAATGAACGTCATTGTTGAAATAATTGATCTTTAATTACTCTGGTCGTTTATTTGTGTGCACTATTTATTCTAACATGCATTGTTTTTATCATGAATTGCTATGAAATCGACATTTAGCTGTAATAATGGTTGTTTTGTTGCTTGGAATGTATCAAAAACGGGCTTAAGTTGATCTGCACATAAAATAAAGTCATTATAATTAGATATAGGAAGATTTTCAGAAGTGATTTATATTTATAAAGCCTCTTGTGGTGGCAGATAATCTCCTTTAGTCTCAGTAAATGCGGTCTAACAAGAACCTGCCATGTTTACTGGCGGGTCCGGGGCAAACAGGCAGGTGCCAGACATATAAACACAGAGACCTCGTTCGTATTCAGCACAGATCCTCTCCTCCTCCTCCTCTTCCTCTTCCTCCTTTCACAATTCACCGGAGCCCGGTGACTCCGGTTACGTTTTTACGATGGCTCCGCCCTCTACTCGGTTTTGTCCAAATCGGGCTTTTTGCGTCGCCGGAGCTCCCGATTCCAAGCCGACGTCACCACCGAGTAAAGGGAAGAGCTGACGTCGAAGAAGAGTCACAGAGAGGAGAGGGCAGGAGGGAGGGGGAGACTCTCAGCGCGGATCGCATTCATATCAGGCATATCTATCCCCCCTCTTCCTCCCTCCTCCTGCCTCCGTTTTACGTCGGTGTTGGCGCGTCGGGAGCCCCCCTGCTCCGGTGGAGTCCCAGGCTATATAAGAGACCGGCGAGCAGAGTCCCTCAACCAGATTTACGGGTTCCGGACATCTGAGCCAGAAGAGACGGCGACCTGCAGCCGCCGATTCACCTGCACTCCGAAAGGAGGGACGAAGGGAGAAGGTTTTTACCAAAAAACCTTGCTCTGGAGAAAAAGAAACAGCTGAGATGAAAGTCCAATAGCACATCTTTTTCTTCCCCTCACTTCTTCAAACCTGTCTCCGACGGGAAACTTCAGCAGATCTTCTCACAGCGCTCCGCTTTACAACTTTTCACCCGGAGGGACGCTGACGGCTCGCCGCAGCAGCGACAGACCACGATGTACCGCTCAACCAAAGGGGCGTCCAAGGCGCGACGGGACCAGATCAACGCGGAGATCCGAAACCTGAAGGACTTGTTGCCCATCTCTGATGCAGACAAAGCGCGTCTCTCGTATCTGCACATCATGTCCCTGGCCTGCATGTACACCAGGAAGTCCGTCTTCTTCACTCAAGGTAGGAACTGAGACGGCAACCTGTTGATCAGTCTCCCGCAGAGTGCGGGGATCAACAAGTGTTCGAGCTGAAGTGTGATTTAAATCTGATTTTAGGGTGAAATGTGCATCTATAGCCCATGTAGATGTTATTAGACAGTTTCTGTCGCTGATAAAAGTGTGAAACTGAGGCTGTCGCTGTCCGTGGTGCTGAACTGTTTCCTCGCTGCTGTCGCTGTCCGTGGTGCTGAACTGTTTCCTCGCTGCTGTCGCTGTCAGCGGTGCTGAACTGCATGATTCCACTGCGGAACCTCCGAGCCTCGCTTCTTTCTTAACAGCTGTTTGGCTCCTTTCTTCCCAGAAGCGGGATCTGCTGGCGGTGACGAGGAGAGCGCTGCGTTTCTGTCTTTCCACGAGCTTTCGGAGCTGATGCAGGCGATGCCGGGCTTCCTGATGCTGCTTACCGGAGAAGGGAAGCTGCTCTACCTGTCTGACAGCGTCTCCGAGCATCTCGGACACTCCATGGTGAGACACGCCGCTGCTGCATTCCTCCACACTGGAAGGTTGTTTCACATGGGTTTAACACCAGGTGTCTTGTTATTGTTTCAGGTGGATCTTGTGGCACAAGGTGACAGCGTTTATGATATAATCGACACTGCAGATCACTTCATCATGAGGACCAACCTGTCTGCTTCTCCATCACTTGAGATGGGTAAGACACCGTGTTCTTTTCCTACATTATTCATTTATTACACAATGAAAACTGAAAATCACCCACTAAACTCTAGCAAAAACCCCAAAAGTGACACCATCAACTTCCTAAAAGTATTATTATTTTTTTTTGCCTCTAACATCTTTTGGAAAGAAGGAGGCAGTGAATTTTTTGACACAAAAGGTTCACTTAAGACTGACTTTAGATCATAAACATATTCAACCACATCTAAAAACCAGCTTCTTGATGTAGAAACTGTCTCTCTTTTTAAAGCTCAGCACATATGGCAACCATCTGTTGGCATGGCAACCATCTGTTGGCATGGCAACCATCTGTTGGCATGGCAACTATCTGTTGGCATGGCAACCAGAGGCACTCACCTCACAATAAAACAATCGTAAAATTTTTATTTTACATCGCTAACATTTTAGATGTGACAAATTAACATATGTTGTGCCTGATGTCATGCAGGAGCTTAAAATTAGATTTTAGACCAGCAGATTTAATGTTTGGCATTTCCTTAATTTTAACATTTTGACTCCTCTAAAGGTAGGACTACCAAAATAAGAGTCCAGATTTCAAAGAAAAGCACAAGGTACTTCAAATTTTACAGCTGAATTAGCAAGCAAGCATAAAAAAATCACTTAAATGCATTTGGCCCTATAATCAGTTCTTTATAGATAATTTTTATTTTTGCCAAAATCACTTTTAATTTTAAGAAACAGTAAATGGACTGGAGTTACAAATTTCTTTTCCAACCATTTTGATCACTTATAGTAATTTACATTACAGCCACATTCAAACATTTCTACAACAATGTTAGACAACTTGGCTTGAAGTGCCTCACTGGATTTGAACTTACAACCTTCTGATTACAAGTTGACTTCTCTACCAAGTGAGTCGCTCAGCAAGGTGGTGAAACAAAGATGCTGCTTCCTGTATATGTTATAAAAAGCAGTGACCCGAGCGTACACCCCTGTGGTACTCCATAACTAACTGCTACATTTAAAATGTTCATTTCTAATGAGTTTCCTCCCCTCTTTTGCCCCACAGACCGTCTCTTTCGCTGCCGTTTCAACACCTCCAAGTCGGTGCGGAGGCAGAGTGCCGGAAATAAGCTGGTTCTGATCCGTGCTCACTGCGTCGCTCCACCCTCTGCCGCCCCCGCCGCCAGCTCCTACTGGACCTCCAACCCGGTGTGGGTGTGTTTCTGCACCCCGCTGGAGCCCCAGCCCACTCGCTCCGGGTCGGGGCCAGACAGGGACGTGACCTCTGCCCCCCCGCTGGCCGAGACCAACCTGTTTCTGGCGTGTTTCCACTCCCAGCACGGCAGAGACATGAGGCTCCAGGCGGCACAGGACAGGTGAGTTTGCCCTTCATTCCTCTAGAAATCGCGAGTTTATTCTGCTTATTGGATAAAGACATGAAAAATCCCATTACCTCCCACTCTGCCCTGCAGCATGACTGTATATCTGGGCTACGATGTGACAGCTTTACGCTCCCGCTCCTGGTACGGCCTCCTCCACCCACAGGATCTGTCACACGCCTCTGCTCAGCACCGCAGCCTGTGTAAGCGCTCCGTTTGCTCAAATTAAGCCGTCCATGCCCACACTGTGCCCACTGGCACATTCACACAATGATGATTAATGTGATTACACACCGACCATAACATGTTCGCAACTGTTGTTGACAGTGAGGGAAGGTGGAGAGGGCAGAGCTGAGATGGTGGTTCGTGTTCAGGCTCACGATCTGTCCTGGGTTTGGCTCTACATGGTGCTTCAGCTGCAGCACGGAGACATTCCCATCAGCAGCAACAACTACATCATCAGGTGAGAACGCTCCACTTTTTGAAGGTTTAAAACAGCAAAATCAGCAAAACTACTTCAGTTTTACTTTCGCCACTATAAAACTGCTATAGTTTCAGAGAAAATGGGGATGGAACATAAAATAATTTGGATTTTTTTGGTTCCTTGTCAGAATAGTTTTTTGCAATATGCAGAATGTAAACCGTTTAGAAAAGTCATGAATAGGGCTCCACATTATTTGCGCAGAGACCAATGCAGTTGAAATAAACTAAAAAAATCTTACAGAAGTTTTAGTAAAAAAAATACCAAGGCGTTTTGCCTTTGGCATCAAAATTGCAGAAACTTATTTTCACATGTTTTCGTTTTAAATACCCATATTCATGGGTATACTATAAAAAATTCCTAAATTTGAATAAAATTTTTTGGGGAGGAATCCAGTTGGAAAAAATGAGAAAGAAAACAGTAAATCTAAAGGCAACATGAATGAACTCTGACACTGACTCCAGGTTTCTCTGTTGCTGTCTGTTTTTCAGTGACTCTGAAGCCTGGTCGGTGCGCCAGCAGCTCAGCTCCGAGCAGACCCAGCTGACCCTGGTTCTGAGCGCTGGCCTGTCTCAGCCAGAGGGCCTGAGCCTGCAGTCACCGGAGACCCTGTCCAGTCCAGACCAGGTTTTCACGCCCGGTAGCAGCGGTCTGTCCGCCCAGTCCTTCGACTTCAGCACGGCCGGCTGCAGCGTCGGCTCCTCGGACGAGCCGGGCAGTTCCATCGCCGAGCCCATGCAGCTGGAGGGAGACCCTCGCTCCAGCATCTCCTCTATGGAGGAGGACAGCTTCTTCCAGCCACCGCCCACAGAAACCCTCTCCGCCGCGTCTTCGCCGACTCCCGTCACGGTGGAGACAGTAGCAGATTTGGACTTTTTGACCCAGAACATTCTCCTGCCTCCGTCCTTCCAACTCGACCCTCCGCTGCCGCTGCCCACCTCTCAGGCTCAGCAGACCAAAGAGTTTGTGTGCACCCCGCCGTACACGCCGCAGGTCGGAGGAACCAGTTTCCAGTTCAACGAGCCGCTATTCAGCTTCGACCCCTCTGGCACCACAACGCCTCCTCCCTCTGCTACGACTGCCACCTCCTCCACCTCGCTGGCGTCCTCCACCTCCTCCACAGCACCGCCCACTACAAACCCCAACCCTGCTCCACCCACCACTCTCTCCACCAAACTGCCCCTGGCTTTGCCCGCCCTCTCCACCGACCTGCTGTTCTCCGTTGAGACATGCAGCGGCGCCCTGTACGAGAAGCTGCCCCCCACGCCCGACAGTCCAGGAGACGGAGATTGCACGGTGATGACTCTACCAGAGGTCCGCGGGCCGCTTTACGTTGACGTGCCGCTCGGGCCCCTCCACTGTCCCCCCGAAGGCCTGCTGACCCCTGAGGCGTCACCCGGCAAACAGCCTTGCCTCACCTTCTTCTCCTTGGAGCGGGAAAAGGAACGGGCGGAAATTTCCCTCCTGGCTCAACACATCAGCTCCCTGGCTGAGGGTTTCTACCTGGATCCTCTTTTGTCCAAACTATCCCCCTCCTCCTCGCCTCCGTCGCCCTTTCTGTCCCCGGCTATTGAAGCGGCAGATCCAGTCCACATGCTAAGGGAGTTTTATCCCGTAAAAACGTGGAGAGGTCTGGACATCCCCATCTTCCTCGACGACGATGACTCTCTGTTTGAAGAGAACATCCTAGAAACGCTCCTGCAAGACGACTTCGTTCCCAACCTCTCTGCCCCCTCCAGCCCCACCTCTCCGCACACCCCAGTGTGTTGGCACCAACCCTCCCAGTTTGAGGGAGCGGGCCACATCTGTAGCGTCCAATCGGCGCAATGTAACTCCGTGGCCGGACGCGGGGCGAGCGTGGCGACGACGGACGGGGAGGGGCTGGCGGAGGAAGCGATGGAGATGGAGGTGGAGGTGGCGTCGTCTCCCGTGTCGTCTTGCTCCTCCATCCCGGCTTCCCCTCCCCTCAGCCTCATTGCCTCCCCGAGCCCTGCCGCCGCCATGCCCGTCGCCTCGCCCACACCCGCCATGTCTTGCACTCAGTCCCTCCTGGAGGAACTGGCCGTCCTGGAACCCATGTTTGGGGCAGGTGCCTCGATCGCCCCTGGCTTAGGGCAACAACCTGAGTTGTATCAACTCCAATGTCATCCATCGCCACAGTGCTTCCACAAAGGTGAGCGATTCCTGTGTTTTATTTCACCTTTCTTGTTTTTAATAAGTAAAAAATTCCAGTCACTAATTTTCTTCTTCTACTGTCTGTTTTTGTCTTTCAGATGGGAGTGGAAGTGTTCCTCCGTTCTAAAATAAGTCTGTGACTTACTTCATTAAGTATGGCATATTGTCATATTTTGTGGAGACCCTTTTACTGAAAAGTAAAAAACAATTAAGTGTATAAATATACATAATGTATACAACTTAAGGACTTCATCTCCTACATGTCTGCTAAGAACAAAGATTGGCTATATATTTTTGTTCAGTCATTTCTTCTGTGTAATATTGCAAAAAAAAAAAAAAAAAAAGAGAGAAAAAAAAACTGGTACCAGATTCACACGACGACCAAATGGAGCCAGAACTGCCTGGGTTCTGGCTCCATTTGGTGACCTCTCAGTTAGAGGTGCACCTGCAGTTTTCAGGTTACCGATCTTTAAAAAAGCCTGACCTGCCAATCCCGATTTTGGCCGGTAACGATTTTTACTGCCTGAAATGTTACTAAATAAAGTCTGCAGACATGTCCTGCTTGGGGGACAGTGGTCCCCCAAGCAGGACATGTCTTGGGGGACAGTGTCCCCCACCCCAATCAGCATATTCTTGCAGCATTTAAGAACATAGCGGATTTTCTTAAATTAGATCCCAAATTTAAGAAAATCAGGTCGGACTGATTGGCAGATCAATTTTTCGGTGCACCTCTACACTCCAGAGCTTCAGAGACGATCAAACTCCAGATACGTATGTGTATTCACTCGTAGTGAAATATCTGTTGTGAACAAAAACAAATGATGCATTTCTTGCTATTTCAGTAGTGGGATGAATCATAGCACTTTTTTGCCTGACATGCAGCAACGCAAACCCAAACCTCAAACGTTACAGGAAGTCAAATGTTTACAATTGTTTACAACCTAAGTGCGAAAACAATCAGTAGAGAGAGAGAGAGAGAAAAAAGATTTTTTATCTTAAATCTTCTGATTTAGTTCACAAAACCAGACGAATTCTGGTTTAAACTCCTTCCAAAAACACAGAAATGGAACTGAAACCGAGATACTTTGAGCTTTGAGTTTGCGACTTTTAAATTTTTAACATCTCATGGTTATCGCTCCATCTGAAATCTTGTGTATCGATGTGATTTGCAAACAAAAAGAAAACATGAAGAACTGGACTCTGATCATGCCACAAACCCTCTGCGACTCTGTACTGTACATTAAGACTCTGAATGTGGACTCATCGGGTCCTCCTCCTCCTCTTCTTCTTCTTCCCTGCTTTTGGCTGTGGGGCAGTCGGCTGGATATTCTTGCAGCATCAATATTTGCAATGCTGGCAGCTTATAGCGGCTCCTGTGTGCCTGAAACGGCCCTTGAACTTTGAACTCTTCATCCACTCCGAGCGAGTGGACGGTCGGCATTGTGGCTCCACTGGAGCGCGGTGCAGCGAGGCACAAATTTATGGATACCGTTTGTAACTTTACGAGGTGAAAAACTAACAGCGAACATTTGGTTTGTTTAGCCAGATGGAGAAAAAAAAAAGTGGATGTTAATTTTTCAAAGTTATTTTTTCACATTATTCCACATATTTATAAATGTCAGAGTTTGGAGCTAAATATTTCATTTTGAAAACTAAACATATGACTCAGACTAAAACATTTAGTCTTAACTAAATATTTAGTTTTTAAACTTGTGACTTAAATATTTAGTTTGGAACTCTGAGATTTATAAATGTAGGAATAATATGTTGTAAATACGACTTTGAAAATGTAATATTCTCATTTTTTCTTTTTTACCGGGCAAATAAACAAAATCATCGCTGTTAATGTTTTACAGTGTGACTTAACAAACGGCACTCCATACGAATTGACTATGTTGAACGAGCGATTCTTCTTTTTTGAGAGGGGTTTAGAATACAAAAAGGTTTTGTTTTAAAAAAATGAAAACTGGGGGGACGGGTGCTATTTCTATTCAGTTACCAAACGACACGGGTTGAGAATGGTACAATTCCCATGGTGTCGACATGCTCACGTAGAGTTGTCTACGGTCAAGTAAAGGATTGATTCCTACGTTCTAGCTATTCAAGGCTAAGTTAATATACATGTGTAAAAATTATACATCTGTATGTGTGATATTTGAAGAAAAAAAAGCTATTTCATATGCGTTACGTCTCAGGATGTAGGCATATGTTCTTTTCTGAAAGGTTGTACACATTTGTACATTTGTATGAAACAGCTCCTGGTCTGTACATACAGAAGAGAGAGATTTTTATCGCATAAAATGGAATATATTCTGAACATCTTATTATTATTCCTATTATTTACTGCAGAATGGACATTGTGAACCAGTGTTCTATTGTGATGCTTATAAGTGTATTTGGTTGTCATACAAATGCATTTATATTAAAGTGCACTTAATGCTGCTGATGCATTTGTGTCGTCAGAGTCGAGCTCTCTGTTCCTCCCTCATCATCACCATCATCATCATCACCATCATCATCTTTTCCTCCCTCCCCTTCACTCTCCTGCGTTTCTTCCCCCGGAGCGAGTTTCGCTCAGCAACAGCTCTGACGCACACGTATGACGAGACAGAATGAGACACTATCTGACTCAGACTGACGCACACGCTTGGCATTGAGGCTTCTTTTCAGGGGGGCCACACACACACTCATAACAGTAGGAAGACGACTTCCCCCCTCCTTCCTCCTACCATCACCCCTCTTTACAAATCAGAGTCGCCCATATTTGCTGATGTACCTGCGGCTCGCTGAGCGTGGCGTGGCGCTCCATATATAGGCATTCCTGCTCTGACTGGAAACAGCCTTGCGTCTATTCTCAGCCTCTATTCAGAGGCATCAGGGAGGGGAGGGCTGGCAAAGAAAAAGGCTAAAATTAGAGGTACAGTAGGAAAAAAAAGGAGTAAAAATGGAAACGGAACAACCTGATCCCACAATGCCACGAAAGATGAAGAGACATAACATAAAATAAACCAAATATGCATCCCCCTATAAGATTTGCTCCACAAATTGAATTAGAGGCAATTTTTAACCCAAAACTCGACATATCTAATGATGCAAAGCCTTAGGCGTTGCATTTTTTTTTCTGCAAGTGAACATTTTGTTCCAGCACTACCTGCCGCAGTGGTGCTTGATGGAGGTGAGATCACTGCACACAGCTGACTGCTGCTATCTTCTGGAAAATTCAAGCACTGCACCTTCAAGGAGTCCACCGAGTTACTGTGGTGTATAACAATATTAAAAAAAAAGGTTAGGAGAAGGCCAAAGGGACAGGAAGGGTTCAAACCTCAATGTAGCTTCAGCAAATCCAATCCTACCCCGACTAGGAAGGAACAAGGAAGACTCAGTAATTAAAACAGACATGGAGGTTTACAGTTTCAACTCGTTTGGTAGTAATTAGTAACATTTACTGAAAACATGTACTTCTAGGAGTATTTTTATCAAGCTGAACTTTTACTTCTATCTCTACTATTATTTGAGTAAAATTTCTGGATTTTCTACCCACTGAATGAAAAAAAATTATTGTTTTATCCAATAATTCACCAAAGACATGTGTTTTTTGTTAAAGTTAGTAAGTCTTTTTATCATTATTATTGAAACTGATTTTGTTATTTTCTGTTACCTATGTGAATTATTGTAATTTTTGTCCTTAAAATACCAAAATTTCCACTTAACTTTATATTTTGATCCATCAGATGATGTACATTTTAAATATTGATTGACAATTTGACCAGTAGACTTTTAACCAAATACTTTTTTACTTATAATTTCTTGGATCACTACTTTTTCATTTTACTTGAGTATAAATATGTGGAAGCAGTGCCCAGTTTCTGTGTGCTCTATCCATCTCTCCTTTCAGTCAAGATAAAGCAACTGAATTACTTACAGTGTCACTGAGACAATAAAAACACTTACATGATTTGAAAAGACAAACTGCTCTCCTTACATTTTGTGAACACAAAAGCTTTTAATGATATATATATATTTCTCATTATCGATGCAGATTGTGGCTGTTTTAGTAGCTGGGTGAAACGCCAGCGCCATCTTGTGACCTAATCAGGGTAAATCAAACCATAAGCTGCAAACGCAGAGCACACAGAAGCTGTGTGAGATTTCTCTGCAGTTTTAGAAGCAGCCAGATGGAGTGATGAAGAAGAGGAAAATGGATCTGATGAAGGACTGCAGCCATGTTTATTGAGCCACATTGTTCGGGAAGCAATCACGACTCCAACATTAATCACTAAACGATAACCAGATGCATTTATGGAATATTTATTCATCTTTAATTCTGGTTTAATTCAAATAATCCAGTTACTTTGAATAAACTGCCTCAACTTCTGCGTATCTTTCAGAATCATGGCTCCTATTTCTACATCTTGAGTAAAATTTTTATACTTCTGATAACTGCAGTTTATATGTGATATTATAGAAAAACAGCAACACCCTGCATTCATAGTTTTTTGAGAAATATTTACTTTTAAAAATAATAGTTCATCTTTTCATATGCTGTAAGTGTTTTTTTTTATTTGGGCAACTTAGCTTATTAATCTTTATGGTAATGTCCAATGCAATATGCGCAACAAAAACTGAGGACTGTGAACAAAAACTGTTGTTTTCTTCAATGTTCAGTTTGTGTTGCTTTTATTTTTATATCAGCACTGGCAATAGGGCTTGTAAGTGAGTGAATGCCCAAATATGAAATCTTCTTAGACCAAGAATCGGTATCCAGGAGGGAAGGTCCAAAATATGTTTGGGCGCCAATTGTGCCGGTGCAGTGCGAGGTTGGAGGAGTTAGCAGTGGTGGTTAGCCACACTAACCAGAAACAGCAGGAAACACTGTTGAAGTATTCCACACTTTTCGATTTATTTCTCCACGTGCTAACATTATGATGTCATACATGAGAACAATAACGACAGGCAACCGCCCCGCACCTCGCCATCACTGATCATCTCTACAAGAACATGGGAAAGAGAGATGAGTTCTTACTCTGTACAACAGCACGACAATGCAAAAAAGGAATAGGCGCCCCCTTGTGGTGACACCCACTAAGCAATATAATGACTTGTTACAAAGGCTCTCTCCGCACAATCTCAGCGCCACCAGAAATTGTGAAAACCCGCCACCTGGCTCTGATTGGTTGTTTCTGGTTAGCACTGGGAGAAGCCAGAGG